CGTCGCTAGAAATGCTTTACTCTCATTGCGGTTAAAGTTTTGCTACGCGATGGTTTAATCTCCATCTGACGACCCAACATATTTTCTTATTGCTATTTCAGTATCATTGTTTACTCAATAGGGGCAATTTCTCTTGTCTGATAACTTTGTCAGTGTTTCTTTTTTCTAGCTTGATATCTTTTTTTTTTTATAAAGTAATTAGATGAAATTGCACATATCGATCGGTTCAAATCGGTTTTATCGTAGCATCCGTTGTTATTGCAAGTAGAATTGCAAATGCGATTGGTCAGTTTTAGTTAAAGCAACAAAGCGATGCACGGCGTATCGCTCTTGATGCCAAAGTCTTTGTATCAAAGGCCTGGCAAAAAATGTTCGAATAATAGCAGGACGTACGACATAAAAGCACACAAACATCGTATTTTACTACGGTTAAAAGACGATTTCTGAAAAATATAAATGCATGCCTGCCGGACAGATGTATAACTGCGGTTTTAATCGGTTGACAAATTTTCCATGTTTTATTTTGCCACAAGAGCAAAAAGCGTATATTTATTCGATGGCTTTAATGAAGTTCTGATAATAAACCGGGGAATAAAGATTTATTTTAAGGTCTGTGTATGCAAATATGAATTTTAGTATTTATCCCGGAGAGAGAGAGAGGGAGAGAGATGATTACGCGCGAGAGATGTAGAGCTTGTATTGTTACGATCAAGCAAACATGTTACGCATAATTTCTTCTTTGCAAGCATCCGAAGCGAGGTGGATAAAAGGATAACTTGTGCTCGGATAATTGCTTCCTAATGGCCGCGAATCTGATATCTCATTCTCCTTTCAATTATGCTTTGTTCCTTATCTGTCTCGGTCTTCACTTCGATGCCACGAGCTGTTCGACGTCAATCCACCGATTTAATGATGATATCATATTGCATAACCCGATGTGTATTTACATTGCATGCTATGGAAAATCGCTTTTGTATCACGCTTGTCGTATAATTCGATATCTTGCATAAGCGAGATTCATCTCTTAACAAGATTTTGTTTTAACAGGTACTCTATTACTCAGGGACAATACGCACATCGATATGCGGGAGATTTTAATTTCAGCTGATCCGCGACTTCTGACCCTTAAAATTTATATGCCGTATATCGCTCTGCATTTTGTTGCGAGTAGTTTACGCTTTAATATGATTCCCGCGCGACGAAACTACATTTTCCAATTCGCATACCATGCGAGTCTCGACTAGGGGCGGTGAAAACGGTAGGTAAAAGGGTTCGCGCGCGAAACTTAATAAATTAATCCCGTAAACATGGAGAATCGCGTTTCGCCGGCTATTTCGTGCGTGCATCATGAACACGTGCACGCATCCGCGGCGATGCAATACATGCTCGCGGCTTTGGCGGTGCAAGTCCCGCGGAAAATATCAGTGTGCACATCGTTCTGCCTCCTCCCCTCCCTCTTTCCCTCCTTCGCGTGATATATTTACTTAATAAACGTTCCGAACGGCAGGAAAATTTAAATTAAATTTATTCAGTGAAAACAGCGTGTAGGCACGAGGGCGGCCGCAATATTGTTTGCGAGCGAACGAAATGCGCAAGAGCCGGTGATAGGGTGAGAGAGAGAGAGAGCAAGTGAATGGGGAGGTGACCAGAAAGGACAAATGGACACAGAGAAAGAGAAGACTGTTAAAGTAGTGAGTGGATAGAGTGAAACAGACGGAGTCGAATAGAAAAGCGGACACAGAAGGAGTGCGGAGATAGGAGCGCGAGAGAGGAAGAGGGCGACGAAAGAGGGCTGCGAAAGTACGGACTGTTATAAAACGAAGTGAAAAGCTCGAGAGGGATGGTGGCGCGTCTGAGTGACGGCGGACCGTTGATTCGGCTGTGGGAGGGAAAAAAACGTGGAAATATGCTCTCGGCACGCTTTTCGTACGACGGAAATGTGTCAAATTCGCGCGTGCTCCGTCTGCCGTGTATGTTCGAGCACGGCAGCGCGGAGCCGCGCCGGGGAGGATCGGTGATGATGGCGCGTGCTGTGACAGAGGGTGCGGGTAACGACAAAAAAAATATTCGTCCGCGTTTCATTTCGTTCGTTCGCCCGGCGTTTGCCGCCCGGGGTCGCGCCGTTGTTTTCGTATTATCCGAAATTCTTCCGGTGTCAATGGCCCGTAATTTGAGCAAACAACGACCGGCTAAACGGCTCACGACTGTCCGCCCGTTCATAAATTCGTGCGGGTCTCTTTTATTACTATCGCGATACGTTTCGCAAACTGCCGCGACTGCGTAACGCACGATTGAGCACTCAGCCTTGTGCATTTTCGCATACTGCGCGGCGCGGCGGCGAGAAATTTTATTGTGCTCTTCCACAAGTTGTTTGCTCAATTACTTGCGCGTGGAATGCTAAATGAAGTTACAAAAATATCACGATGCAAAACCTTTTTTGCATTTCCCGTGTATAACTGCGGAATTTATCAAGAGACGAGCGATGCACTTTTTGAAATGATGCCAACAATAAGAAAAGAGGATTTACCGTCATTACATAAGTTTTTATCCTGTTATACATAAAAAAATAAAGTGGAGATATATATCTTAAGTTCTTGTTACATTTTTGCAGACTTTAAGTTGGGCGACTCGAGAGACAGATGCTGACGTTAACGCTCGCCTCAAATTACTGCTTTCACACGTCGCTTGTTTTCTTGAAAATTAGCATGTTGATTAAAATTCGACTTGAAAGTCGCTTTGAAACGTGAAACTGGACCGTAAGTTTCTCGGGTAGAAAACGCGTAGAGAAGCGAGAGCCGTCGATGCCGGGTCGTGGACAAAGTGGTCATATTTCGCACAAGTGTCCCATGTCTACCCTTTTGTCTTTTCCCTAGCGGCAACCGTTGAAAGCAGCTTGCTGTAAGCGGATATTCTATTTAGGAAAAAAAGTTGGAAGCGTGCTTGTTCCTTGCCGTTATAAAACTGCTTATCGACCGGCTTTACTTTACTCCTCCTTTACTGCATAGATCCACTTCGTTTGAATATGTAAACTAATTTATTTCTATACCCTCTTTTCTCGGATCGGGCAATATATATATAAATACGATCTTCTAAAGTACTTTATTTAGCGGAAGGAGTGCATGACCGAAATCGCCAAAACGGTTGAACCGTTAGCAACGTGAGTCGAGTATGTACCTACCTACCAGCTGCATAAATTCGGTCTGAGTGCGATGATGCCGCATTTATGACGAGGGCAACGTCGTTTTCAAGAGAATCGTCGCCGCCGGCGGAGAAACTCTTCATGGAAAATCACATTGAAGTTTGAAAAATTCGATGGCACGCTCGAAACAGACTGGAGCTCACTCGGGGGAACGCTGGGTGGACGGCTGCAATTGCTCACGGAACGTATCTTCCTTCTCCCGAGCACGGCGAACAGATTGTCAGAAACCGTCGGATCGTTCGTTAAAGCGAAAAATCACGTGCGCGAGATTTACTTCGATTTCATATTTTTTCGATTGCATCGTCTGTCTGCGCCGTTCCCAAATGTTGATTTATCGTGAAACAAACTTTGCTATATACTCATGACTAAACATTAGGAAATAAATATTTATCTTACTAAATTTTTGAGGGATAAAAAAAGTCGAAACGTCACGTATTCGGATAAAAAAATTGTTTCTATTTTTAGACCAATCCAGCAAAAAAAAGGCAATATTATTCAATTTTTGATTGACACATCTGTCTAAAATATTTATTGTGACGAATTTTAATCGTGCCATAAATCCGTACATTATTAATGCAACTTCATATCGTAAATATTGTAGAAATTCAAAGCAATTCTCTTTTAACTCGACCTTAATTACTGCTTAACTCGTGAAGTTCGCATCGAGTACATGGTCTTAATCATTAAGGCATACCATTCAAATTCATTTTACTTAGTTTGTGGAGCTGTGCTCGCCTCATTTCATCTCTTTACATCTGCTTTTCTATTTGCGCGGATGTAAAAGTAAATTATAGAAATTTATTCATTCCGAGTGCACTTTATGCGTTCTGCCTCAAAATTCTACTTGAAATTTTTCCGAAGCAATAACATTGCGAATTTATCAACATTTTTAATAAATTCGTGCATAATGTTATTATCTAATGTTATTAATAGAAAGTTGAATCAATTAACTGTGTTTAAAATAACTAAAATTATTGTAATAAAAAAATTACTTCTTGCTATTGTAAAATTATTTTTTATTAAGAATATTCTTTGTTAATTCATCAAGTATTTTCTATAAACAATTTTTAAATAAAGATTTTATGAACTTTGTTTTCAGATTTAATAAGTAGAGACAGAAATTTCATCGCACGGAAAATTTCAATTTTATTGACTTATAATGATAGGCGAATGATGATTAATAACGACTCGTCAGAATCATAAATGTCTTTCTCAATCCATTTCTTAAAATATATTAATGCATGATAATTATGTTGTTTAACAAATATCACGAGTGGCTATTTAGAATTACATTTATTAATAATGTCGTAATGAATACTTCGCTGATATAAAATTTGCCAAACCTGCATCATACTTGCGCATTATGGATGCAAAATTTGCTAAACCTGCATCGTACCTGCGCATATTGCAGAATATAACAATAAAGAGCAATTTATCTCTTTTATCTATGGCTCTTGAAAAGCCATGTAGTTTGTATGATGTACCTTATTGCGGATTACAATAAATTTCAGGAAGCGCATTATGAGCCTCTAATGAAGATTATGTATCGAGGCTAAAGATAAACTGAGGAAATCCGACCTAACAATTCTATCTGAAAACCCGATGTTGCGCGGTTATAGTTGACACACGAGATTATGGAGGCATCTCGTAAATTGCTCTACGGGTAACCTGTTCGCGCTATTATGTTCCCCGAGTAGTAATTGCGTAAATATAGTCCGTCATAACTCGCTCTTTTGATCGTCAACGTGTTTTCCGATGCTATAAAAGACGGGCAACTACGCGATCATCTCGCAGTGTTAAAATGTGGTCTAAAAAGTTTGTGTTTTGTGCGTTTGTGGTCATATCGGCCAGAGCCGAGCAAGATGTTCAATTAGAAATTCCTCAGGGATTTCTAAAGGGCCTAAAGACTAATACAGTATTACAGAACAAGGCGTACTATAGTTTTAAAGGGATACCCTACGCGAAGCCCAATGTTGGCCTTAATAAATTCCAGGTAAGTTGATTAATTATCAGATATATACATGTATTGCACATACACACACATTTTTTTTTTAATAGACTATTTCTATATTTAAAATACGGGTCAAAGAATTAGAAGAGTAATAAATTAATATTTCGAGTTTTTTTAAATTTTATTTTTCAGATGCCGGAGCCAGCGGAGTCTTGGGAAGGCACGTATGATGCGACTTACCATCGTGCGTCTTGTCCCTTCTTCTGTATGATAGAACAAGATATAGTTGGCGAAGAAGATTGTCTTTTTCTAAATGTTTACACTCCGGTGTTGGACAAGGACGCTTGTAAAGCTGTTATGGTATGGTTCCATGGCGGTAATTTCAATCATGGCCTTGGAGACGATGTATTCTTCGGCCCTGACTTTTTAGTTGAGCAAGACGTCGTTCTTGTGACGCTTAATTATAGACTAGGCGCAATTGGTGAGTAGGGATCCATCAACAAACAAGTGTTTTCATGAGACACTCCGTTTAAATAATTTCTAAATCATTAAAATTGAAGGCACATATAAAATAATCGTACCATTATTGAATTATAGGATTTTTAAATACTCGCGACAAGAGTGCACCCGGCAACGCTGGTCTAAAGGATCAGGTGATGGCGCTGAAATGGGTCAAGGACAACATACATTACTTCGGTGGCTGTCCCAACCGAGTTACGATCTTTGGCGAAGATGCGGGCGCAAGTTCCGTCCAGTTTCACATGATGTCTCCTATGTCCGACGGTGAGATGTCGCGATCGCTTGATTACTTGAACGAAATAAACTTTTGTCGCTCTCACATCGTGGGCGTGAAATGTGTACAACACGATTTACCGTGCCACAGGTTTGTTCAATAAAGCTATCTCGCAAAGCGGAAGCGCGGTGAATACATGGGCGATATCTTACGATGCCAGAGACGTAGCCTTCAAACTGGGCGAAAAGCTCGACATAGAGACTAGCGATTCTGCTGAGTTGGTTGCCAGACTCGCAGAATTTTCTCCGAAAGAATTAATTGCGGCCAGTGATGACTTACCGTTCCTTAAACAGGTAAAACCGTTCCTTATTAATTGAACGAATTATTTTCTTGTTGAATACACGAGAGAAGCGTTACATTAATTGAAGTTTACGATATAAACACTCAAAGCGAACATTATGTTAACGAGTATTGAACGCCGATAATCATTTCGATTGCATCATTGCAGAGCGCTATGAACGGCCGCACCGAAGCATTTATTCCATCGGTCGAGGCTGACATAGGACAAGAGATATTTCTGCCCGCCGATCCCTGGACGCTTTTGAAATCTGGAAAAATTGCCGATGTGCCCGTTATGGCCGGATTTACGGCCGACGAGTCCGCCTTTTATGTGCAGAGTAATGACCGATACGATATTACGCGGAAGTTACATGTGCTCGGCGTCATGTAAACGATATGAAAACATTTGTTTTTCAGTGATGCTCGGCAATATCGACCAGATAAACGAGCACTTTGAGAACTTCCTGCCGAACGACTTGAATATAACCGATGCCGGGCAGAAGAACCAACTAGGTGAAAGCTTGAAGAGCTACTACTTCGGGGATAAATTGATCTCCACGGAAACCACGAAAGAGCTCATGAAGGTGAGTACTTAACGTTAATATCGTCCCGCTATCGCGAAACTTCGTGTAAGCAAGGTATATAAGTTTAACGATGTGCATATTAAAGTTGTTTGTGCATTTTAGATGTTGGACGACGTCATGTTTGATGCCGGGATCGCACTCAGTTTAGAGGTATTAAGCTCCCGAATTTCATCCCCAATTTACCAGTACATATTCTCTTACGAAGCGCCGTTCGGTATGATAAAATCTTTGGTCCAAGTGGAGGTCGGTGAGTTACGAGTTATGAGTTTGAGCAGGAGATTCGTATTCGCTCTGGTACTCATTATGCGAAAGAGGAAACGTGATATTATATTTTAGTAAATTACATTTACTTATATCATTTTTATCTCGTTCAACTAGGCAGCGCTCATGGTGACGATTTGACTTATGAATTCTATTCGGACGAGTTGAAAAATGTGCCACAACCAGGTTCGCCCGCGGAGAAGATGGTGCGCATTTATACCACGTTATTAGCGAACTTTGCAAAGGACGGGTACGTCTGGACAATTATTGGTTACTAAATTTACGACAGATACGAAACGAGAACTAATCGTGATATTTTTAGGAACCCTACATCAAATATGAACGAGTACGTGAACGTGAAGTGGGAGCCCAGAGGTGAAGAAGATAATTACATGAATATTAATCAAGATTTAAAAATGGAGAAAGGCTTATTGAACGATAGGGTTGATTTCTGGAAGAACTTGTACAAAAATGTTCTTGGCTAAAAATGCATTGTGTCGCGAGAACGCAATATAAATATATTTGGTCACATCGAATTTTAGAACTGGCAAAATGGTGATGCGTAATTATTCTTATTTCGTGATATAATGGACAATATATACAATATTATATAAAGATTGCAAATATAATCTAAATAAAATCTTAACTAAAAGTATTAGTAGGATGCTTGAAGCTTTGCTTCGAGAAGAGAGTCACCGAAAAGCAACGTGATCGATAAAGTCCGCACTGAATTATAAAACATTCAATTAGAGTCGGCAATTACGTCTTCTAATTTGATATCAATTGCCGTTGATATATATATATAACTAGTTGCGTCAAACGATAGACTTTTGAATCACGGCTGTTCCATTTTTTATCACGCGCTTACGTATACTTGCTGCAGCTATGTCTTTGCGGCAAGTGCGAGATCGCTGAAAGAGCAACATCGAGTCTATATCTGAAATAGCGGAATTGTTGCGGGAAGGAATGTTGATGCAACTCGGGTAAACTCTTAGCAGTTGGTTACCGTGGTTGAGATTGGCAATTTGTTGTAACCTGCTGCCTCTCTTTCTCCCTCCTTCCCTCTCTCTCTCTCTTTCTCTGTCTCTATCTCTTTCATACCACACGCTCATATGTATCTTTCCTCGCGGTGGTCGAGATATATCTGGTGGCATGGTTAGTCACGCACGCACGATCTCGCACGCGTTACCGTGCGCGCACGGCGATCTGCTAACTGACGTATCGGATGAAAGGAAAATTTATGCCTTGTCAGAGCGTTACGAGCCAAATGGTAACAAATAGGGCCGTAGCCGCCGCCGCCGCCGGCAAGAAACTCTTTTGTCGTTATCGTGCGCGCGCGGTCGCGGTATACCGTGAACAATTCGCGAATAATCGCACGAAATGAAAATTATTACGGGCGAGCGGGCCGCGTCGTTGCAGCTGTTGCTCGACTGTGCCGTACCGCCTATATTCTTTTTCATACAGGACCGCGAAAAGTTTTCGTATAACCGCGCCGACGCTGCGAGTTCTCTAACGAAATTATGCGCTTGTTTCGGCGAGCGAATATAAGCGGAGAACTTTTCTTCGCGATGTACGACCGGACTGGGGCGACGCAGCGCGACGAAATGAATGGAGAACCGATGTACAGAGCCGCGAAAGAGGCAGCGGCGCGCGTATATACGCCGATCCGTGAAATATGCTCTCAGTGCACGTCGCTGAAATTGTAACCTTGATACGGCCAGGCCGTCGTTCCGTCGGGTTTTATGACGTAATCAAAAGCGCAGCCGGAGGCCGGAGGCCGGAGGTGGGCATTGTGCCGCTGCCGAGCATCGCGCTCGCGTCGCATCGCGGAAATTTAACGCGGCGGTGCCGTTTTCAAGTACACGGACACGGGAAGTCACGCGGAACCCGAGACACACGAGGCCACGGTATATTGATCGCCGGCGCGGGTGCAGTTTTGACTGCGGGACCCTGTGCGCGCGAATGCAATCGATCATCTCGCCACGGGCGAAGAAAGTCTGCACCGGTGCTGACGCGCCTGAATAAGCGATATTGTTAAACGGAGTTTTCATTCTTCACCGTCAATGGGATTGTAGCGCAATGATGTTGCTGTCTCTGCAGGATTGACCGATCGGAAATACCGGGAAATTGATGAGTCTTACGGGTTCTATAAAGCCCTCAACTTTCGTCTCAACAACTTAATATCTCGTCTGTACGACGGGCGAAGAAACGTATTTGCTCGCGAGACGTCTCGCGAGAGGAAATTTCACTCGTGTTTCCTGCTAACGCGTCCTGACGCTTTCGCGGAAGCGAAAGCGACGCGGTATAAATGTAAAGAGCGCATGGATGATGCAGAGAGCGAAGCGATATAAATATATCGCTCGTCTCGTAACGCTCGTCGATATTTTAATCTACTCCATTTAGCGACACACAAAGTTTCCGCGAACCCCATTATCCTTGGTACTCGGGGCTTGGTATTCGCGATACGACGCCCTGTTATGCCCGTCTTAACAAGCGGACAAACTCGGTTTGACGATGCTATAATTCGCACAGAAATGCGAAGCGTACCGAGTTTGGCGACGACACTTGACGAGATAAGCGTGCTTATTTACGATGGTTTGCAATTTGGAAACGCGAAGTTGTTGAACTGCCAGCCGCCCTGGCAACGGTGAACTTGAGAACTGGGCGAAATCAGACGACCTGATGGTGAAGTCGCCGAAAAGGATTATCACCGCAACGTCATCGTTATGACGATAAATCGCGCGTATGTTTTATGATTTTATGATATTCGTACGACAGTAATTCGCCGTTTGGTCTCATCCAACTACTTATTGCTATTCAATCGCGCGCGTCACTTTTATCGCGGGCGCGACTCCAATGGGATTTAATCGGCTACAAGTATTCCTCTCGTGTGATCAAACGACGGGATTACGTACTAGTTTCCGCGCTCCACGCAGCTATTTACCCTTTTCGATGCTTAAGACGCGTGCGCATCCTAGTGTACGGCGCAACGTGGAGTCCCAAACAAACATTTACGTTCCCTAGCCTGCACGGCGATTTCTCCTCCGTAATGCATCCGATCGCATTTGGATTAGTCCCCGATCTTTAACCGCAGTGTGAATATTGAAATCCCTGGGTCGTGTCGACCCAATTTAAACGTCGGCTCTTGGCCTCGTTCAATATCACAGGAGAATGCATAATCTGCGGAGATAACGCGGTAGTCCGAATTAGGTGACTCGCAACTGAAGCAGAAATATAATTTATTCAATGATACGTTATATAAATTTCATGTTATAAATAACAGAGCGCGGTGATCCAATTTGTAATATCTATAATGATTACATAGTCATGCGATGATTCTACATAGAAATGGGGATATAAAATAACGTGCGCTGAAATGTCACGCTGCTGGAGCAGCTGGCGAACAAAAGGGAATCCGTAACAAATCTGCAGACCAAAAGGAAATTAAAATTGCGCTCAAGCTCTCCGGCGCTTTCTTCTTTCGTACAAGTAAAAAAAAATTTGGTTAAACCTTTGAATATGTTCAATGAACGCGCCCAACGACCGAGCAAATTTATTTTATTCGACTGTAATGTCATGCATATGTTTCCTTGTTTTTTTTTTTTTTTATTAAAAATAATATAGCAATATTTTCATATCATATTATCTCCTTTGAAACGATTATTCTACATAAAACTTGACATTTTAAATTTTCGCAAAATTTAAATCGCAATGTGTAACAACATTCTTATTCCTCTTTTGTTTAATATTGTATTGTCGTTCTCGCAACGCGTAGCGCGTCTTTAAAAGAACGATGCCGAAATCAATACTTCGAAAGTAACAGAATCCTCTTAGTCAGTCTTAGTGGATCATTATGGGGAGACCGTGCGGGTTAATGCGCAGTAAATTAGACATTGTCACTTAACGATAGTTCCTGACAAATACGAGGGACAGTATGAAACAACGCAAATGTTTGTACTGTATTACGGCGCTGCTACCACTCCCATTTCCGGCAACGTGTGTGCAAGCGGCATGCACGTTTTAATGCTGGCGGTTCACGTATCGCCATCAGCGTGGCAAACCAGGAAAAATTAAATGCTATTGATCCATTAACAACTTGATCAATAAATAATGGCGGCTTAACGATTTCCTATAATTATGAGTGGTAGCTTGGGCCGGGACGCGTGAGATTTATTGTTTGCGGCATATGTATTTTCATCTCTGCGACACCTGGTTTTTTTTTCGAATAACCGCGCAACCGCTTGTTCGTTTAGTCTCATAAATGTATTTATTTATTTAAATTATTCATGTAGTAAGGCTGATTACGTATTCGATAGAAGTTGATGGCCATCAATGAATAATTTCTACGGGCGTTGCAATAACTTATAAAATTTTTACGTAAATCTGCCTAATATCATAATGTGTTGGGCGGATATTATATGATTCATACGATATTATAAACGCCGTATAGTAAACATTGTATGCATTCTACATTAATGCGTGTAAACCGGTCTCATATACAGCATGTCCTAATCGCTTATTATTTATACATATGGCACCGAATGTTAGTTTAATGTATCATTTAAACCCACGTTCTCATTTATATGTATAACGTTTAGAACATCTAAGCGACAAACCATTGAACAACACCGAGATACGTTCAAAGACATTTAATCACGATTAATGGCACACGTTAATCGTATTGTTGATTCTTTCTCTCGCAAATCTCTGGAGCATACGTATAATTTGCAAAATGCCGGGTAAATAATTCTATAATGTATTTACATTATCGTCATTCACAACACCGACGCGGACGCGGCGACAGTGGCGTAACAATCGAGCCGCGTTGGTCGGATGTCATTGTTTGCCCATCCCCTAAGGCTAACCACCGTCACCCACAATATTACAGAATTACTACATGGCCCGCGTCCGTTCGTCGTCGCCTCTCGCTCGAACCAATATCGTGTACATTACGTACGTACATCGGCGGTACTCCGCCGCCTCCAATATTAGTTCCGATGCCAGTACGGAAATTGCATTGATAATGCTAATTAAATTGGTTTGTTTGTTAATTGGACCTGTAAAGGTCCCGATCCTTGTGTGTCCAGGTAGATTACCCGGCTATCGATCCATCGGGAACGCTCTTGCCGCGTCAAATCAAGCGTGATTCTCAGCGCCGGTCAATACAATATGTTCTCGCCCGCTCTACGTTCTATGTCACATCGAGTTTTGCTAACAATTTTCGATTTGCCGTCACGTCGCCCGTTTATATCGCGCGCCAGATATCGGATAGTATCGAGTTAATTACCACATTACGTATCACCGCGCTAAGATAATCGTTTCTGTCCCACGTCAGACATGACGTGGCCTAAGCACAAACAAAGTTATTAATCTGGTTGATACGATAAATAATAGTCGTTGTAATTGCATTTTCGATAAAAACTACTGTTGTTACAAACTTTAAATGACAAATTGCGACGTTTAACACGTAAATCCGTACAATAGATGATTGTTTGCTTCACACGCGTATAAAAATAGCTAATGATAACGACGTCAACGTAATGTATAAAGAATGAAAAACATTACACGTAGTTGTCGCTGGTTATTGAAAGGAATGGTCTCACTTTCACAGAGAATA